AGTCGCTTTTTAGAAAAAAAAAAAAGTCGCTAAGGGGTCTGAAAACTCGCTAAATATAGCGACAAAGTCGCTAAGTTGGCAACACTGACTCAAACTGCGGAGGGAAACACGACTACAGGACAGACTTCCTGTATTACTGTTACTATGGAAACAGAGCACGCACTGAAGGCTGAGCTAACGTTAGCTGTAGCTAAGCTTGGTTTCGGCTCTGTGGGACCTTTCTTTGGGTAGAGACACGTTTTCTATCCGCGGAGGCAAAAATATGTCGCAAAGGTAACCTGTTCAAAAGTTAGTGAGGTTCGTTTAATGTTTGCTTGTTGCGCGTAAAACGTGAAAATACCCAATAAGTCAAACTAAAGAAAGTATCACAGCAGGGATATTTCAAATTCAGCGGCATATTTGATCATAGAATAAATAAAGAGTCTTATTATTATTATTGTCCATCCTAATGAGTAATGAGACTCCATCCAGCTGAATAGCAGCGCTGACAACTGTGCTGCTTTTTGCTCTTTAAATATTTAGCGTTGTTGTTATTAGCATTATTCTTATTACTCTTTGAACGATCACTAACCTGCATGATGCACCTTTCAGGATTATCGTTCTGGCACAAACTCATCAGATTGCTTCCACTTTTCCAGGACATACAACCAGCTGTGGGCAGATGCCCAGTCAGAGCTGAGCTGTCTGCTGGAAGAAGAGCTACCAGCTGAGCCCCGGCGCCCTGAAAAAGACCGAGTCGTTTTCTTCCAGCGTCTGGCCATGCTTTTTGTGCGCTACACCCAAGTCTTCAGACAGCTGGAGAACGCCTATGACCTGGTGGTCCACCCTCAGAAGAGACGATTTATTCATTCTGCTCTGGAAAGTGTGATGGGACGAGTGTTGGAGCTGAAGAATGAAATGGTGGAGAAAGAGTTTTCAGAGTACCACTACATGGATGATGTGCTTCATGATCTGAAGCTCATACCTGTACGTTTGAGTTCAAGATAAAACCAAATTAAGCTCCAGCACATCGACGCCCGGGGGCAACATAGTAACCACTGTTTGCTCTGATGTCCTGTTAGGCCGACCTCGAGATCCCCATCCCTCGCTATTTTCACAGTGAACGCAGCAAAGAGGTGCAGCAAAGAAAGGCCATGCTGACTGACATCCTGAAAATGGCGGAGGTCGCTGAAACTCCTGAGGTGAGTGGAAAAGCAGCCCTGAAACTTTCTCGCTGAATTTGTTCCTGTCATTTTGTTACACGCTTATGCAACGACTGTTACATTTAATGAGTCGGCGTCACGCAGAAGCTGTTTGCGTACTTTTGTCTATTTTTGGTCCCACAGCCTGTAATGGCCAAGAAGATGAGTCAAGAGGAGGCAGTGAAGATTATTCAAGTGGCAGAGCGGGCACGACAAGGACGTGAAAGGGCAAAGTTCAATATGAAAAACTTAAACATGAACACCGTATACAGGATCGAGGAACCTGGAGCAGAAAGTGCTGAATCCGCTGCCGTCCGCATCCAAAAGGTGCGTCGTTACTCACACGCCACGTGTCACATGCGATCTTCTTTGTCTGTGCGAGCGCTCGTTCATGCTCTCAGGGATAATTGAATGTAACTGCAGGTGTGGAAAGGCTACGTGCAAAGGAAGAGGACGAAAATGGCCAGAGAGGAGGAGATGATTTTTCTGGGGATGGTGGGTAAAATGCGGCTTCATCAAGATACTTTTTAACGTTTATAAGGAAACACTCGAGTGCTGATCTTTTGTTCTAGAATATGGATCCAAAGTATGAGGAGCCACGCCCTGCAGAAACGACGGCCCAGGCCATCGAGGCTTCCACACGAGTGAAACAGACGGAGCACGAGGAGGCGTACCAAAAGGCCACAGTGGACGTCATGAACCAGCTACGGGATGTGGAAGGAGACGACATGAGCAAGAGCATGAAGGTGCAAATTCAGCAGTGGTTCACTGAGTGCCGGTAAGCTGGCAGAGTTTGTTTCCATGATGTTTTCCTCTGGTCACGGAGCTTTTTCACACTCGGTTTAGTTTCACGTTTGACTCGTCGATGTTTCCACAGCAACGCTACAGGAACATTTCCAGACTACCCAGATGAAGAGGATGGAGGTTCTGCCCTCATTTTTGCTGAAAAGACCCCTCAGCAGGTAGAATCCAGCCTGGTTTAAAGGTTTTATTCGTGCTTTAATATTGTTCGTAAACAGAGGTGTTGGTGGGTTTTTTAGTTGTTGGAAGAATTTGCTGCAAAGGAAGAAGAAGAGGCCAACGCCAACGCCAAAGCTAAAGGAAAAGGAAAGGAAGAAAAGAAGGAAAAGGGGAAAAGTGGCAAGAGGAAGGAAGAGGAGGAGGTGAGGAGACACTGCTGTTTTTAATTTAGTAGAACAATCTGTAAAATGATTATTACTCTATCTTAGATGAGAATATAGCAACAATGCTTCAGTTTGTGTTCATCGCTGTGACTGCATCACGGTCAGGTGGAGGAGGCGGGGCTGACGATGCTGCCCTCTGCATTTCTGCTGGACCTCGAAGTTGAAAGTAAAATCTACGCAGGTACGGTGCAGCTCTGAACACTGAGTTTGTTTAATGTTAAAAACCTTTAACACTAAAACTCGTGATTCACATTCAGTTGAAGACAAATCGTTCAACTCGTGATCTGCTAAACTGGGTTTGCAACGAAGCGTAAAGGTTTTTGTTTGTTTTGGCCAATCAGGACGTCTTTGTGAGTACAACAGTTTATCCTGATGCACGCTCAGTCGTGCAGGTAACTCTGTAAGTTCTGTTCATCTGGACGTTTTCAGTGGGAGAAACGTTGCGTCGCTCATCCAGGTGACCGCTTCCCCCACGCTGCGTCCTGATGAGCAGCACCAACCTTTCATGCGCACTTAGAGTCTGCAGTAGAGCAGGGCGATATGACCAAAAATATTTATCACGATATACGTTTGAAAATTTGTGATGACGATATAATTGACACGACAGACAAAATACTTTACAACTCCTCAACTTTATTAATGCAAAAAAAACAACATCAATGTATTTTCAGTTAAACAAGCAGCTGTTTTTTTTGTACATTAAAGTTATATAAAAGTTTAACAGAGCAAATTCCTGTCTGACAGTTTAACTAAAAGGCATTTCCAGTGGAAACTGGCCGACATATCCTCAGCATAACCATGTATAACATCCACAAAACTTAAAAAGAGGTTAAACACACACAATACGGTAACATTATGTTGAAGCACAGTACGTATCACTCCGCGAGGCTCCGCCTACGATAGCCGTAATGCTCCGACAATCCATCAAGCGGTGCGGCTTCGTAGCTTAGCAAAGTCGTACTGAAACATTTGACAGATTTTCGAGCGCCGTGCACATAAAATCGTTTCGAGGTCAGTAAACACAACCAGAGTTCATACATAAGGCACACGGGATTATAAGGGGCTCTGTCCACTTTCAGAAAAATCAAAGGATTGATTTTAAGTGCGCCGTATTTTCCAAACAACACGGTAATAACGACGGCCCGCTAGCATGCGCTACCAAAAATAGTGCTTTGTTGTGTGTCTGACGGACGAAAGCTAAACCAGTTCCACACCAGTGAAGCTGCAGCATTTTTACAAACCAGTTCAGGTTCATCTGTTTCATTCAACGATCCGCTTTCGCTCTTTTTATTCTCCGTCGCTGCGACGCTTTTTCCGCCGTGTGCGTATGAAAACAAAGGCACTGCGCATGCGCGTTTTACCCATATTCTATCGTGATATTTCATTTTCTTATCGTCGCCCAACATTACACCGGTGTTACCGTGAACGGTATGATATGGCCCAGCCCTCGTCTGCAGTGCATGTTTGTCATCCTCAGACTTTTGGCACAATCGCAGCGAGTACGGAAACTTTAACCAAATGCACGACCCGGAGCTGATCAAGGAAGAAAAGAGGAAAGTCATTGAGGCGGAAATTCGAGTGAAGGTACGGCGAAGGCTGCAGCAACACGATCCACCCGTTTGCTTCTGCTTAGCCTTAAATGAACATTTTGTTTGGTCTGAACAGAGAGTTTGATGTAATGCTCGGGTTTGTCTCACTCGCTGGTGATGTTTTGCTCGCACCAGGTCGACGAGCAGATGAGACACGAACTGGCTGAGTGGAAGCTGTCTGTGGACAAAGACAAGGGCGGTAAGACGAAAGCAAACGCCAAGGTACCTGCCTGAGCGACGGCGGCCGCAGTTTACGCTGTCTCCTTGAAGCGTGTTCCTGATTGTTTTTGTTTCATTCTGCAGAAGAAGAAAGGCTCTAAGAGTGGAAAGAAGAAGAAGAAGGAAAAAGACCTGACGGCTGATCGGTGAGGCCACGCGCAGCCTGATTGGATGTTCAGCACGATGCAGAGAGATTTAAAGCTCATCTTTTATTCACATCTGCAGGACTCTGCAGTCTCTGTGCCAGGAGCTGGTGGAGCAGGGCTTACTGAAGCAGACACAGAACGTTCAGCTGCAGGATTTCTTGGGTAATTTTGTTTAATTGTAACTCTGGTCGTCTTGTTTCTGTGTGCTCGTACATGATGTGCTGGTACTCCACAGGAAGTTCTGAGCTGTGTTAAGTAGAAACGATGGCGTGTGGATGTGCTGCCCTCTGCTGGTTTGTGACTTCCAGTCACCAGGCGCGCGTTGCTAAAACTAATCTGATGCTGTTCGATGTAATGTGATGATTTTGCACCGACTGTCTATATTCATACATCACAGTTCAGTTAAGTGCAGATTAAATAAAACGCTGATTTGTAATGCAATGATTTATTCATGATCATGGTTTTGCAGAACATTTGTGTCGATGTGAAACTAACAAACAGGTGACTTCCTGTATCCTGCCCAGGTGACTTTAGCTACCTGGGGACCACGCTGAGGCAACACGACATCGAGCCCATGCCGTCATTGTCAGATGTGCGACAAGTCTTGTCTCTGTACGCAGTTCTGCCGTTAGGTATTAAAGCCAGCGCTGATCTTTCACATCGACGGGACAGAAAACATCTGCAGTTTGAAATAATACGACGTCACTTTCAGGCTCTCAGGTGGTTCACGAGAAGGCTCCTCTGATCAAGTCGGTCCTGCTGGTCGGACCCACAGGTGTGGGGAAAAAGATGCTGGTCCACGCGGTTTGCCACGAGACGGGCGCCTGCCTGTTTGATCTGTCTCCTCTGAACACGGCCGGGAAGTACCCGGGCAAGAGCGGGCTCGCCATGATGCTTCACATGGTGTTTAAGGTAAAACCACCACAATCAATGCTTTTAATCTGTGTGTGCAGCACAAACAAGAAGAATTTGGTGATTTAAAGACTTTAAAACAGGTAAAATCAGACTGCATTCAGATTTTTCTGTCATTATCTTAAAGACTTAAAGTTATGAAGGCAGAACTTTAATGAACTTACATGAAAAACTGGTGAAAGTCAAGCAGAATGAAGAAGCCAGCGTGCAGACAAATGCAGCGTGTAGACGAGAGTGCGTCTAAAGAACAGGCTGACTTGTGTTCAGCTGGCAGCAGAAACGACATCACCACATGAATGTTTGAACATTTGCATCCTGCTTGGACCGTAACTTCCTGCTAATCATTTACAGGTGGCGAGACTGATGCAGCCTTCAGTGATCTGGATCGAAGATGCAGAGAAAATGTTCTACAGGAAAATCCCCAAAGAGGAAAAAGAGGTGAAGCAGACAAAGAGATTATTATTGTGTACAAACGCTGTGAAGCTGATTTCTCCATGTGGTTAATAGTTGGACCCGAAGCGGCTGAAGAAAGATTTGCCCAAGTTCCTGAAGCTGATCAAAGGGGAGGATCGTGTTCTGATCGTAGGAACGACTCGAGACCCGCACAGCGCCGAGATCAAGTCTCTGTGCAAAATGTTCAGCAAAATCCTCCTCATCCCACGACCCGACTACGGCTCCAGACGCAGTAAAGACGAGACAATTAAACTTCATGTTTTTGTAACGAATATAACGATGTTTCGATTACGTGTTCAAATCGATCTGTTTGCCTTCAGTCCTGTGGAAGCAACTGATCAGAAAACACGGAGGTGAAGGCACCGAGGCGTTGGACCTCAGCTCTCTGGCAAAGATTTCTGACGGCTATACTCCAGGACACATCGTCCAAGTGATTCAGAGCGTTCTTACCAAACATCGAGTCTTCCAGCAGGCGACACGACCGCTGACTGCAGCCGAATTTATCGCCCCGTTAGCCCAGATTGACCCCGTGTTCCAGGAGGAGGAGGAGGCCCTGAAGGTAACCTGGATGTCTTTGATGTGAAGACTCGACGACAGGCTGAGGAGCAGGATATTGAAGTTTTGTCTTTACTCTGGCTCAGAATGGACTAAAAGTACTGCGGATCAGTTTATCGCTGTGCGAAAGGTCAAACACGAGATTGTTAGAGGTCGTTAAGTTCTTTAGGATTTGCTTACATTTACAATCTGTGGCAGTATTGTTGTCACTGACATTAAAATCATAAAAGGATTTCTTTCCATTTCCAACAGAGCTGGTATGCAAAGACGCCCCTGGGAAAGAAAAGAAGTAAAGCTGCGTCAGGAAAGGAAGAAGAAGAAGCAGCTAAAGACAAAAATACCAAGAAGAAAGGAAAAAAATGATCTTTATTTGTTGTCTTTTACTGAAGTGTGTGAGTTGTACCCTCGGTGAGGCTGCAGGAATAAAGCATTCAGGTGCAGTGTTGAGTTTCTCTCGTGTGCAGGTGTTGCCTGTAAACAGAACGCAGTCGTTTTCACATCATTAGCATCCTACATTTTATTGAATGCAGTAGTTTGATGATTTTATGTCAGTAAAATGTTTCCAAAACGTTGGGAGGTCTTTTTTCAGCGTGCACGTGGGAACGAGGACGCCCACTTCTGCAGCGTGTTCGTTTTTTCTGCGTTTCGCTCGCGTGGTGTCGGATTTTATCCTCTCAGCTTTGTCATGTTTGTTTGGGTGGACGCCCGGCCGGGACTGTGGGCACCTCTGTTAGCAACCCGACCTTAAAAATGGCCTCCAATCAAAGAAGAAGATCTAGATGCAGGTTCTTCATCCTTACTTCTGAACGACCTGTCCTCTCTGAGGTGCAGCTTGTATATATATGTATATCTCAACTTTAAATATGTAAATATGACCCTTGACCTGTTAAACTGGTGGACAGACTGCTGTGGCTGACTGAAGGCCAAGCTGTTATTAGATGTGCCAACGCGGCTCAGTCAAGGACATTTAATGTTCAGGCTGTGGCTTCCTGGCTGTAGCTGTTATGAAGGAAATCCTCTTTTCTTTAGGCGTCACACACAAAGCCGGAGTAAAATTCATTTCCAGGCCACCTAGATGACGACAGGAGCCACATTTTAAACAATCACAGCGTGCTGCAGCGTCCTACAGCGTGTTGTTGTTGCCTCTGTGCGGCGCAGAGAGTCAGGCTCAGAAGAAATGCCAAACACACGAGGGGGAGTGTTTCCAACATGATCCAGAGGCTTAGTTCAGCTGTTTTGTCAAGTTCTAAATTCCCTCAGCAGATCTTCACTTGGTTCCTTTACCGTGACTCTATTTTTAGAGTTTGTCCACATTTCATCAGGCAAAGCTCGTCTGTTGGACATCTTCACAGGATCGAGACATCAGAGGCTGCTCGTCTTCATCTTCAGAAACAGCGACAGCAAATACAACGAAATATTTGTTCCTACACTGACTCGATGTTTTACCTGTTAAACATCGTAATGAACGAGCTTCTGTAAACTGAGACTGGCTCCTGTGGACCACGTTCTCCTCCTCAGTGATGACAGGTTATTTTCTGTGCCCCACAGAGATAATCTCTGCTGATACAGTTTCACTGGCACATGGGACTGTCTGTCAAACTGAGGTTACACAATGCTGCTGCACCGGCTTTCTTCTTTTTGATGAGGGATCCCCACAAATCTGAGCTAAAAACTGTTAAAACAAAAGCATAAAGGCTGGAGCACGGTTGGCTGCTAGGCTTCGACCGTCTCATTGTAATAGTTCCTGTATTTGGTTTTTGGGGCATTTTGAGCTTTTCAGATCCTGGTTTCATGCAGCCACACAGACCATATTCAATTCAAATCAACTTTATTTATATAGCGCCAAATCACAACAAAAGTCGCCTCAAGGCGCTTCATAGATACAGAGAAAA